CTCTTCCTGCCTCAGTCCCCCGCCCCTCCGCACCGCTCCGTTCCTCACAGGGCCCGTTCCGCCCCCCTCAGCGCCCTCCAGCACGGTCTCAGCCGCAGTGCTCCCTCTCACCACTCCTGCTCACCCCGCAGGTCTCAGTTTAAATGATGCCACTTCCCCTAGCGCCTTCCTGGGCTGTGTGTCCTCAGGGCCAGCAGCTCCCACTTCTGTGTTCTGTTGTGCATTGCAATTTTGAGACATGCATCGCAGTTAAGTTATTCGTGTGATTCACTGTTTGATTTACCTAGCCTGTCCCCTGCCCCCCAAACAGCTCCATGAGAACAGGGACCATGTTGGCCCCTGACAGTACCAGGACAGCAAGAGTCAGGAACTGTGGGATAAATGCCACCAGAATGACTTCCCAGAAAGAAACCAGGACTTCCTCAAAAGCCAAACCCCAGCAGGAGATGACAAAGGGGATGGGGGGGAGGGCGCTGTTACAGACAGTTCAAGGGCGTGGAGCCAGCTGATCACACCAGGGCCACACAGCAAGGCCAGCATCAGAGCCAGACCCAAGGGCTGACTCGAGTGCTCTGCCAGAGCTGGCCAGAGCCCTCCCCGCCCTCCAGCCATCACTGCAGTGCTCCTCTGCTTCCCATCAGCCCCGGGAGATGCTCGCTTGGGGCCTGAGCAGCTGTCGGTGGCACACAGTGAATGACAAAGAGCAAAATCTAGACACAGAGACCTGAGTACGAGATTGATGCTTAGGGGAACAAGTCATGCCACCTGGCCCGAGCTAAAATGGGAGACAGGACCTCACTCTGAAAGGTATCTCGCCTTCATTTCCCCCTTGGCCTCATCCTGGCCCAAGAAGGTCCACCAGCACCCCCCGCCCCATATATAGGTTTCTTCCCCCGCAGGCAGAACAGCCACACGCATGGCTCACGCCCCACCGGAGCCCCTCTGCAGCCCCTCCCCTTTCTAATGTTATATTCCCGAGCTCTCCAGCTGGCCAGGGGGGTACAGGGGAGTAGGAGGAGCAGGAAGGGTTGGCATGGCGAATTTTGAGTCACTGGCTTCAGCTGACAGAAGGGTCTGTATGAGCTGATGGAACAGCTTAATTTTCACCAGCCAACATTTCCAGGAACATTTAGAATTCTCAAGTCTTGGGGTGTTTGCTTTTAAATCAGTTTCGTTCACTGTGTTTTAGGGAACAGAGATTTGCCCCAGTCTTCCGAGGGAAATGAAACTGTTATAATTATGTTACAAGGTTTTACAAATGGTGGTTGACACTGCAGCCTGAGTTCTTCCTGCAGACCCTCCCCCAGGGCCCGAGGGAGCCAAGCTCCTGTGTTTGTCCAGTAGCAGCAGTTGCTGAGTCAAACTCGGGCCTGGGTCCTCTTCCCCACTCAGAGGCGCCAGGCATCTCTGACCTGGCCGGCTCCTGACTCTTGTCTGTAGCGGCTGCTTTTTTCATCTTCAGCCATCCTGGACATGAAGAAACGTCATCTCTGAGACATTCAAGCCAAGTGGTACTCAGGCTCTGCTGTGTGGTCGTCAGCATCGCAGGTGGTGGGAACAGCGTCATCATCCAGAAGCATTTATCGACGTGTCGGACTTCCTGCGTGTCGCCCCCGTGCACATCTTGCTTTCCCCTAGTGGGCGGTGGGTCTGGCCGCTCCAGCCACACACTCACCACCCAGCCCTCTTCCCACCGGTGCGATGCTGACTGTGAAGTGTGCTCAGGGAGGGGGCGGTGCCTTCTGTGGCCCTGGCACACAGCAAAGCTGGCCCACGCGGGAATCAAGGAAGCCCATGTTTCAGGGCTGAACATTATTCTGTTCGATCCCCTCCTTGACTACAGAAGGGAATTGAGACCCAAAGAGGGGAAGAAAGTGACTCAATCCAGCCAATAGTTTATTGGTCAAGACCGTACCTAGGCTCAAATCTCATTTTAGCTGTGTGATTTCAGGCAAGGTACTTAATCTCAGTTTCATCATCTGTCATGCATCTAGATTTGTTGAGGGTGGAATGCGATATCATATATAAAGCTGGTGATATTACCATCATCGTCATCAGTGATCAGAGTGAGAGCAGACAATTGTTCCCCATTCCTGTCCATTTTCTCTTTTACTGCACACAGTGAGTGACCTTTGCACTCATTACTATATGGCTATAATCGAGCAGCTCAAATGATTCTGTCACAAGATCTGAGACACTTGCTGTGTTCGCTGTTTATATTCCAAAACAGATGACTGCCCAGAGGTAAAATCTTTCCTCAGAGCGTTACAACTTAAAAAGATTTGCATGATGGCTCAGTTTGTGCAATAAATGTCCACCGGTTAAGAAAAATATCCACAGTCAAGCTTGTGGTAAATGTTTTATCTTCACGTGGAAGCCTTGCTATAAAAATAATTAATAGACGTTATAAACAGAAAATCAGTAAAGCTAGAGAAGACTGAACAACATCATCAACCAAACTGGACCTAATTGGCGTTTATAGAACACCACTCAACATAATGGAATATATGTTCTTTTCAAGTGTACACAGATACCTAGGGAGACCGTATTCTGAGAGACATAAAACAAGGCTCGAGAAATTTGAAAGCAGTCAAGTTAAACAAGATACATTTTCTGACCACAATGGAATTAAATTAGAAATCGATAATAGAAAGATATCTGGAAAATGCCCCAACTACTTGGAAGCTAAATAACAAGTATCTTTATGACCCATGATTCAAAGAAGACATTTGAAAAGGAATTGGAAAATATTTTTAACTGAATGAAAATGAAAACAGCCAATCACAATATGTGGTGCTAAAGCAGTACTTAGAGGGAAATTTATAGCACTAAAATGCCTATATTAAAAAAAAAAAAAGCTACCTAAGAAACTAGGAAAAGTAATGATACCCATGATAGGCAGAAGAAAGGAAATAATAAAGAGCAGAGCAGAAATAAATAAAATAGAAAATAAAATAAGACAAAGAGGAGAAAATCAGTGAAACCAAAAACTTTATTTAAGAAAATCAAATTGATAAACCTTTAGCCAGACTGGTCGGGGGAAAAAAAGACACAAATTACCAATAACAGAAATGAGAAATGTGACATCACTAAAGATTCTTCAGATATTCAAAGGAGAGTTGGGGTATTATGAATATCTTTATGCCAATAAGTTCAACAGCTTAGGCGAAATAGACAAATTCCTTGAAAAACACAAGCTATCAAAACTCATGAAGAAATAAATAACCTGAATTAGCCCTATTGCTCGCAAAGAAATTTATCATTCAGAACTTTCTCATAAAATTCCAGGTCCAAACGTCTTCCCTGGTGAGTTCTACCAAATATTTCAAAGAAGAAATAATACCAGTGATACACAGATTCTTCCAGAAAATTGAAAGAATGCCTTCACCTCAGATCAGGAACAAAGCGAGAATCTCGCCACCTCCGTCCAGCATCCCACAGGAAGAGCTAGCCAATGCACTAAGGTAAGAAAAGGGCATCCAGATTAGAGAGGAAAAAGTCGAGCTTTGTTCACAGATGACATGATCGTCTATATAGAAAATCCTATGAAATCTATTTTAAAAACTGCTAAATGACTTTAGCAACCAAGGTTGTAGGATATATGCTTAATATGCCCCCCAAAATTGTATTTCCACACATTAGGAGCGAATAATCAGAAATAGAAATTTTAAAAGCCATTACCATTTACAGCAGCATCAAATATATAAATTACTTGGATATAAACCCGACAAAAGATGTACAAGACCTGTACACTGAAAACTACGGAATATTGCCGACTGAAATTTAAAACTAAAGGACACCTAACCAAATGGAGGAATATATACCTGTGAACCAGAAGACTTGAGATTGTTAAGATGTCAGTTCTCTGCAAATTGATCTATAGACCCAATGCCATCTCCTGAAAACCCCAGCAGGCTTTTTGTTTTGTTTTTATAGGGAGGGAAAGGAGCTGGTGTGCAGTACCCCACCGCGGAGGAACACACAGGCCAGGCTGCACACAGCTCTCCAGGGTGGCCTTTCTCCCACTTGTCACCTCGTTTACACCCTGAGCACGGATTGGACAGGTGGGTCCCTCGGCACATCCAGCACAGGTGGCCTGTGAGGCAGCCCCAGGTAGGGAGTGAATCCCCTTTGCGGCCAAGAAAACCATTTAACATCTGCTTACAAGGTCAGCAGCAGCTTACACCTCCGGGGCGCCCGCGAGGCCCTGTGGCAAGGGCCAAATTGCTGGGCCCTACGAGGAAGACGCCACAGCTCCGTCTTGCACATGAGGAAGCTGGGGCTTGCCGGTATGAATGGCTCAAGTTTCCTGAGCACTTACTACGTGCCAGGTACCCTTCCGGGTGCTCCGTATAGACTTGTGAATGCACAGCACAGTCCTGTGAGGTAAGCAGCCATTTTTAGTCCCCTTCCATGTTTGAAGACACCAAGACCTGAGAGCACAGGTTACCTGCTCAGGTCACGCAGCCAGGGAGGGGTGCAAGCTGGCGTGCAAACCCAGACGGGCTCCCACCACCACCGTCTCCTACCTACCTCCTCGGCCGATTGTAGCCACAGTGACAGGAAATGCAATCCAGGGACCCCCGAGAACGCCCTCCTGACATGCAGTGACTGCACGTGGACTCTGTTCTCCCCTTCACGGCATCGTCTCCCGTGACGGGCACCTCGGGAGAGCTGCTGCCCCACAGCTAACCTGGGCAGAGAAAGGGGTCCACAGGCGCCCGTCCCCAGAGGGGTGGCCAGAGCCCCACACCGAGGCACCGCTGCGTCGCGCTTCACCGTGTCCTCAGGGCCGCCTGCCCTTCCCGCATTGCTCCTTCAGCGGCATTTGAAATTCTTAAGTGCTCGTCTGTGCACCCAGGTGCTGCGTCCCCACCGGGGCTCTCATCCCAGAGACTGTCCCAGTGGGTGCCGCTCCCTCTCTAAGTCGCCCTTCCTCTCCCCAATATGAGGCCAAGACACTCCAGGCCACTCTCCTCGTCTCCACGGACGGCCGCCTCCTCAGGGAAGACTTAACGACCCTCCAAACTGGGCCAGTCCAACTATACTTCCCTCCGCAGCCCTCTGCAGACATCGCCATCGCGTCAGCTCTGTGTGACGTTTTATTTGTCTCCTCGGGACATTGCGCTCCAAGCTGCCGCTCCTCCAACACCTGGCAGAGGGCACAGGAGATGATCAGAGGATGCTTGTCACAGAGGGAGCGCTGCCACCTGCTACGACACGGGCCAACCCGGAAGACACTGCGACGTGAGTGAAAGACGGAAGACGGACTCGAAGGCCACACCCGCTGCGACCCCATTCACAGGAACTGCCCAGAAGGCGACGTACAGAGACAAAGCAGACAAGTGGTTGCTTAGGGCTGGGGGCAGGGGCGACAACTAACACAGGGAGATGATGAAGATACCCGCGAATCGGGTTGGCCGCGCAACTCTGAATTTACTAAAAACCATGGACTCGCTCGCCCTACGCGGGTGAGTTATATGGCGGGTGGACTATGTCTCGATTCAGCTGTGAAAAAAATTAAAATACGCTCGTCTGGCTGGCTGGTTGGCGCTCAGTGTGTGTTTGTTGGTGCTTAGAATCCTGGATAACCAACTCCTGTTGTCTGGATGTCACATTGCTTTTCGCCTCATTGAAAGAGGAATCTCTGGTCCCTGATATAAAGCCCAACCCAGCGCCATCGTTCTCGGGGAGCCCCATGTGCAAGTTTGACTCCGAGCACCACCGCTACACTTTGCTGGGTCCGACGGGAGGACAGGCTAGGTGTGCGTGTCCTGGCAGGCAGATTAGGAAACGCCAGGGTGCGAGGCCAGGCGGCCAGCCCGACCTCACTCACCAAGGCAAGTGGCAGCCAAGAATAGCGCGGGGCTTCTAACTGCGTCTCGCTCGCTGCGAACAGCTGGCCACGCCATCCATCATCTGTCTGATTTAAAAAGGGACCGTAAGCTATGAACCAGGGCCGTGGCCCTTAAACCTGAGTTGGGCTCGGGCTGGTAAAGGACCTAACCCTGTCCTCTGCATTTCTGTCTGTAGGGACGAGGGGGCCCTGCCTTGTCCAGAGCTGGGCTGGCTGCTGCCAGGACTAATGTCACTTGTGTGGGTTTGCCTCTCTGGGCAGGAACGGGCCTCATCGCTCCGATGTGTTTTCTTACAATAATTTCCGTCATCCGGTGCCAGTGGGGCTACCAATGGCTCATATTGAGCATCACACTCGGGACCTTCTGCACCCCAGTCAGCCCGAGAATGGTTAGGGGCAGTCTGGGAGGACTGGGGTGTAGAAGGGCTGGGTGACGTAGCCGAAAACACAGTGACAGAGCGGGGTCCAAAGACGGCCGTGCGAAACCAGCCACGCTCTGCAGCTTCCCAGCTGACTGACCTTAGCGAGTCTCTCGACCCTTTCTGAGGGCCAGTTTCCTCCTCTGTAAAAGGGGAAAGCACGCACTCGATGTGCTGGACGGTGACGGGAAAGGGCCTGGCAGCACTGGTCACCACCACTGGGCTGTGCGTCTTTGCGGGAGTGAGTCGTGTGCTGACAGTTTGGGCGGGCCGGTTTTGAACAGTGCGTGTACAGTGGCCTGCAATGTTTGCCTTCATCGGATGCCCAGACACTAACCAGGTAGAAACAGATCCTGTGGGGCCACCCAGGCAGGAAAGATGATGACCAAGAGACAAATCAAGCCGAAGGTGACAGAGCCCCTGGGCTGTTAGAAATGGCCAAGGGCCTGCGAGTGCCACCAGCCATCTTTCTGCCTTTCCCGACGAGCTATCTCCTCTTTGGCCTCAGATCCTAACCTACAGTGAGTCCGTCCATTCAGAGCGGAGGTCAGGCTCTCCCCATAGTGACGTCAGAGGTGGAAGGCAGGCTGAGGCTGGGGTCGGGGTGCTCCTGCTTCGCCCAGATGGCTTAGGGCAGGTGGGCCTGGCCCAGCCCAGACAGGCAGCCCTCCCAGGTCCGGGCTCCTGTGACAGCTGGCTCGAGTCTAGTGTCTGTGTTTCATCCCAGTCTGGGACGTCTAAATTTAACCTGCTATCAGCTTGAGAGGCCGGAGGGCCTCCACTGTGACTAAATGCCACTTGGAGTCTACTCGGAACCACCTTCACTGGCTGTGCCCCTCCCAAACGCTCCCCCGAATGCAGGCTGTGCTCCGGGCGTCTTCGCTCAGCCGCGTGGCTGCGTGAAGGTTTAAATGTCCGAGCAACTCAGGCTTTATCCTGATACGATCCAGCTCAGCTTTCTCCGGCTGTTGGCTAGGCCTGCACCCGTCCTTCGTTCACGCTTGTACGCACGCGTGCACGTACACACACACCCCGTGGTCTCATGGGCAGAGCTCAGGAGCCGACTCCACAACCGAAAGCCAAACCACGACAGTGAACTGCACCACCCATAAGCCATCTGGGTGGAGGGCGGCCAGTGGAGCCTCTTATGCAATTTCCTGCTGTGGTGTCTCAGACCCAGGAGACAGGATGCAGAATGCCGTTGGGTTGCTGCAATGTGGAAAACCCAGAGAAGAAACCCAATCCCCTGTGCCCAGAGCGAGTGAGAGCCCCTTGTCCTCCGTGGCAATGCCAAGAGGCCACTGCCCAACCGGGCAGATGATCCTGGGGTCTGCAGCTGACCAGGAAGCCCCTCCTCAAAGGGAATGAGCCAGGCTCACTGCAGGCAGCGGGAGAACTGACTGCACAAACTACCAACTTCTGGGGGCAGGGCGGGGTAGATGGGTGCGAAAGGCATTTCCTGCCCAGGGAACCCAGGATGGAGTGAGCCAGAGGCATAGCGCCTTATTATTAATAGTCACCAGGACTCGGCACCAAACGGCATACTCCACAGTGATATGCTGAGGTCGAGAGCACACAGTGCCAAGAGGTGGGGCTCTGGGGCCGGGGTTCAAGTCCTGCGTCTGCCTCTTCCCAGATGCACAGCCTTGGGCAGCTACTCAACTTCCGCTCGCCCTCAGTTTCCTCATCTGTGAAATGGGGACCCCGATAACACCTGGGTTGTCGTGAGGATTCAGTGAGTTAACACCTGGAAGCCAAGTGTCCTCACCACGTCAGCTAGGAGGAGGCCCCTTGGAGAAACTCCATTTTCCGCACAAGGTAAGTGGGGTTCAGAGGGGCTCAGGGCCTCGTCCAAACCCACGCGAATGGCCTTGAGTCCACGGCCCACCCTCAGAGCCCACACCCACCCCGGGACCTCCAGGCGCCCCCACCGCCCGTCCTTTGCTAAGAAAGTGGTTAGAAGACAGTGTGCAGCACCCGTGCTCGGCGCCCGCACGTCCCCTTCCCTCCGCCGCTGACCGCGGGCAGCGTGCAGAGCCACGCTCCGGATCGTCACTGTCCGCGCAGCTATCTGTCCTTGAGGATACAGATCTGCAGGTCCGTGGGCGAGGGCTCAGTCTGAACACTAAGCCCCTCGATACGGGTTTCTCACTCCCAAAAAGCCAAGCTGCCCACCCCCGGTCCTAGCTCTGCCCCCAACCTGCTGCGCCTCCTCCACGAAGGGCACCAGCCAGGGGCCCTTTGTGTGGGGACTGAGGTCTCAGGGCTCTGGACAGCAGAGGAGGCACCTACAGCAGAGGTGGCCTGCCTCCTCCCAGGTCCTTCCTGGGCCCTGAGCACCAGAATCCCCAGACCCCCAAACACATTCGTTCCCACAGCCAGAAACACGGAGCCGTCCATCGCAAAATGAACCACCACTTGAGAAACATCCAGATCCTAGCCAGGCCTCCTTTAAAATTACATTTTATTTCTTTGTGAATTTTTTTTTTTTTTTAAGGTTCATTTTACATTTTCTTCAAGAGTCTTGTGCCTCCTGGTAAGTGCACTGGTTTGTTTTCACAGTACTCTCCATGACCACAGACGGTCCTTATTGCTGGAGGAGTGTGTCCACACCGAGGGACGGGGACACCAGAGGGATCGGGGACCCAGGCGAAAAGCCTGAGGTCTGTGCTCCTGACGTGAGGGGGGAGGCCAAGGGACCAGACCCAAGCTAAGCCTAGCGTCCTTGGCCTGGTCTGCAGCTCTCCAGGGTCTTCAGAAAGCCGGATGGGCAGAGAAGGGGACCTGGGGGGAGGGAAGCTGGGGGCCAGACATGCTGCAGGCGCAGGCGGAGGCAGCTGGAGCGTGGGCACAGTGCTGACCCCGCAGAGAGGGCTGACTCACACTCAGCACGCGCTTGGGGGACTCTGCCCCCAGACGGCTCCGGACCCTCCCCGACGGTTCGTTCCCACTGCCACTCCCTCCCCAGTAACAATCCCGCAGCCATGACCCAGAACCAGCCCTGTGGCCTCCTGACCCCCAGCCCAGGGCCCTTTCTCCTTTTTAGTGCAAGAAAAACCTGAGTGCAGAGAAGGGCCACTCCATCGGGAGGCCAGGCCCTGTCCACAGCAGCTGGCGCGTCACCCCGTTCCCCCGCCAGCCCAGCCCGAGGTGGAGCTGGGACCCGTCGTTCCCCTCACTCGAGGCTACGAGGGCCTCCGCGCACGAAACTGGCAGTGTCCAGGGGGACTGTCCCAGGCCTGACAGGGATTTCCCAAGCACCACAGCGATGGCCAGCGGCCCGAAGCCGCTTCCAGTCCAGTTGCCCCAGGACGGCTGTGCCTCCTGTCAGGAGTGGGGCTCGGGAGACGAAGTGGACGGTAAGCACCCCTGAATACATACAATGTCACGTGGATGCAGGAGCAGAGCAAGGACTGGGTGACCCGTGCCCTCCCATGTCACTGGGACTCCTACAACTGGCTCATGTGTAGCAGAAATGGATTATTTTTCTTATCTGTTTTCTGTGCTTGATTATTATTCAAATGCAGGGCCCAGGTGATGTAGCTGTGGGTTTGGCAAGCTTGGAGGAGGGGGGCTTCAGTGGGGTGTCCCCCACAGCTCCCGCGAGCAGCCTTCAAGGCAGACGTTGCTAAGAAAGCTTGGCGTCACTCAGGACCGAGGCCTAGGGCTCCAGAGGGCCCAGGACCTGAAGGAGGGTGGCCGTCAAGGGCTAGCCACACTGTCCTAGACCCGCCTCCAAAGTGGCTCTGATACCTTGCAACCTGGGGCTCACTTAGTCCCCCAGCCCTGGGCCCTGGTTCACTTCCTTGAGGACAGGCAGTAGGGTGGGCGTGCCAACTGCCTCCCCACGTCCAAGAACGCATATCCTCGGGGGCCCCTCCACCCTCGGGTGCTCCCTCCATAGCTTCGCCCACCTCCAGCACCGTCTGCAGCCCTCTCCCAGCGCCCCTGGGAGGTGGACCCCTGAGGAGGAGCCTGGAGGGATGGGGGAGAGGGGCTTTCGTCTCACCTCTGAACTAAAGCTGAGTCAAGGCGGCTGGCCCCCCAGGTGTCTGGGATCAGTGTGGATGGGTGCTGAGGACAGGTGTCAGAAATTCCCTGGGCTCAACCCGTAACTCACAGGACCCCGCTCCGTCTCTCCTAGACTCACCATGGCAAGTTAAGGCGGCCAGGACAAGAGGCAAGGAGCAGCCCTCGGCCCTTCTCTGCAGGTGCGACAGGAAGGGCGGGGGTTCTACCTGGGCTGAGGGAAGGGGCTCCTTAGGCAGCATCTGTCTGTGGTTTCGTTTCTGCTGAAACTAAAGAATGAGCAGCTGGTTTTAGGTCTAACTGTGCCCCTGCCCCTCCCCCAGGCCGCCCCGGGGGGACAGGGACGGGATGAGGGGCTCCTTCTCTCATCCCTGACACCGCCCCCTCCCTCACCTCTGGGAGGTGAAAAGTCCAGTAGAAAAGAGATCCTGCTTTCTTTGTCTGTTTCGGGTTGGTTTTTTTTTTTTTTCCTTTAAATTTAGCTTAAGGCAAAAGTTTGGCAAAGCAAGTCTACATAAGGCCGCGTGACGGAGGACAAGGGGGAGCTGCCACGGGTGGCCCGGCTCTCGCGAGTCGGCAAGGACGCGGGTCAGTCCCATATCAGCTCCTCCTCCCGCCCCTGAACCTCGTAAAGAGGTGTTTAAATAAAAAAAAAAAAGAAAGACAGACAGACGGACTGGAAAAGCAGTGTGTCAGGGGGTCTGCTGCGAGTGACTGAAACTGTGAGGAAAGGGGACCCACGGTGACAATGGAGGGCGCACAGGGGCTGGTCTGTCTCGCTGGGTCTCCCCCACCCTCCGCCCCGGGGGCAGCAGGTTCCGAGAGGGCCCGGGGGGGCGGCCCTGCGGGGGCATCGCACAGTGAGGGCCCCGCGGAGAAGGTAGAAAGGTTGTATTTTGCGAACGGCTAGCGTCCGCGTGGGGTTCGTGGGAGCGGAGTCCATCCTCGAGTCCGACCTCGCGGGCGCCCCGGCCGCTAGCGGCGCTTGGGTGGGATGACCACGAGCGGCGGCCCGTGCGTGGGCCGCCACATGAGGACCTGCGCGTCGTTGGCGTTGGGCTTGACCAGGGCGCTGGGCGGGATGGGCTCGTTCTTGCTCAGGATTTTGGGCTGGTCCTGGGCGATGGGCTCCCGCAGCCGGGCGCGCTGGCCCAGTGGCCGGTTGGGGTTCACCTCGATGCTGAGCTGCATGCGCCAGTGCAGCGTCTGCAGAATGATCATGTCGTTGGTCGAGGTGTTGGTGGCCACCAGCCACGTGGTGAAGCTCTGGTCCCGGTAGATGTTGGTCAGCTTGGCCACATTGCTCTCGCTGACGGGCACGGCCCATGTGACGCTGGGGTAGAAGTTGTCGTTCATACTGATGATGAACTTGGAGTCTCTCTTGGTGGGACCCACGATGGTGCACGTCTCTGTGGTGTTGCCGTACCAGGGGTAGTTCACGCCGTCCGAGTCACTGATGGCCTCGATCTTGCCCTCCTGGAGGTCCGGGAGCTCCCAGCTGGACCTGAGGACAGAAAGGCCGGTTTGCTCAGCCAGCCACCCACAAGGCCTTCCTGTGTCCCCTCTGTCCACAGGCTCACCCCCCAAGGGGCCAGACAGTAAACACATCCAACGTCGTGGCAGATAAACAGGGGCTCCCTCAGACATGGCCCCCCTCAAAAGCCGTCCCATTCTCTCACGTCCTGCCAGATCGGGCTCCCCCTGAAACCACAGTGGAGGGGGCTGGATCCCGCTGAGCTTCAGGAGGCCCGACCTGCCCTCTGCCCTTGGAGGGGCCCGAGCGTGATGAACAGTAACGGATAGCTCTGAAGTATGCTGTGCCCTGTCAGACCTCGGTTAGGGCGGAGGCCATGGGCTCTGAGAGGCTGGGGCCACACAGGATGTCAGGGGGGCCTGGATGGAAGTGCAGGTAGGCCTAGCGCCTCTGGCCCGGGTGGCAGTGAGTGTCTCTCTCACTTTACAGGCCAACGGGAGGCTTCAGAGACCGGTGGCCATGGGGTCAGCACATCTGGGAACGATTCCCGGCCCCCCATTGCCCACTGTGTGACCTGGGGCAAACACCTGCCTCCTCTGAGCCTCAGTGCTTTTGCCTGTGAAACGGGGTGCTTCCGGTCTCTCCCTCCCGGCAGTGGGACCTGGGGCGTAGGAACCAGCACCCCTGGAGCCCTCCACCTAGGGTCTGGCCCCTCACCCCCATGTCTCCTCCATGGCACAGGGGCCTGGGCTCCCCAGCCCCCCGCCAGGCTGCAGCCAGAACCTGAGGCTTCCGGGGGGGCCAAGATGCCCCTTCCCCCCTCTCCCACCCTCCCCCTTCTTCCTGCTCACGCCTACCTAGAGGAGGAAGCACCTTGCGGCCGGAACTGCCCCCACCTGGTCGGCCTGTCTTTGGAGTAGTAGAGCCAGAAAACCTCACCAGGCCCCGTCTCAAGGCACTGCCCACAGTCCCGGCCACAGGCCACCTTCGTGATGGCCCCCACACTGTGCCGAGAACTTCACTTTCACTTGCTGGAGGCCCCAGGGGGCTCAGCCTCCTGGAGCAGGAGCGGGCAGCCAGGCTGAGCAGAGCTCTGACTCAGGAACCCCAGGCCTTGCTGCAAGTCTCAGCCACCGCCTGATGCGTGTGAGACCCGGAGCAAGGTCCCAGTCCTCCCTCAACCCCAGACACGGCACACACATCCCTCCTGGGGTCACCAGAGAGTGATGACAGGAGTGTGCCAGCGCAGGGCAGGGCACAAAGCAAATGCCGGTCGTTGGCAGCTCTAGCACCACCATGGTCACGATCACTGCCGTAATAACTCTCGGACAGAAGGGGCCGCCAGCCTGTCCCAAGTTGCTGTGAGGACACATGCTCCCATGTGGCTGGGGGTGCAGCAGCATCTGGGGAGCCTACCCCTTAGAGACCCCTCAGCAATCCCGTCTACCCCATTGGACTGCACTGCACACAAGTGCAAAGTGAAGCTGGGCTCAGGGGCTTCTCGCAAGGTGATGTGGCTGGGCAGTGGGGCTGGGACACAGGCAGCCTGACTTCGTCCGGTGCCGGTTCCACCTGGGCGCCGAAAACGCCAACCATCGGGACGCTTGGCGCTCCGAATTGTGCGTACCTGTGTACACCAGCCGTGCTCTGCACGGCCTACTACACAAGACGCATTCCTGTTCACAGAAGGGTCAGTCACAGCGTCCACAAGGGGGACATGACCCAGGTATCTACGGACAGGCGATGGATAAACCAAACGTGGCTCACCCACACCATGGAATATTATTCAGCCTTAAAAAGGAAGGACATTCCGACACACGCTACATCGTGGATGAACCTGGAGGTCATCACACTAAGTGACATAAGCCAGCCACGAAAGGACGAATACTGCGTGAGTGCACGAACATGAAGTCCCTGGAGCTGTCGCATTCACAGAGACAGGAAGTAGAATCTGGGGGCCGGGGGCGGGGATGGGGATGGGGAGTGGGTGTTTCATGGGGACAGTTCTGGAGATGCAGGGGGACGATGGCAGCACAATGAGCATGGACGTAATGCCACGGAACTGCAGAGTGGTTAGGATGACAAACTTTACGTATAGCTTATCACAATGAGAAAACCGTGTTCCTCTACTGGAACGCGTCGTTCAACGTTAGCGGTTAGCAAAGCTGGGGCCACGACAGGAGGGACGATGATGAACGTGGTTTTGCCAGCTTCTGTTTATTTCAGGCGTTATTTTCCGTTTATTTCACCGAAAAGCTCCCAGACTCGGGTGACTGCTGTCCAGCAGGCCATCTCCTGCCCAGGTCCTCGAGCTCATCAAACTTGGCAGGACCCCGGGCAGCAGCTCCAATGACCTCACGTTTCCGACGTGCCGGCCAGTCCCTCAGCCCTGCCAGAGCCACCCCGCCCCCAGCAGCAGTGGGAGGCGCGGCACAGCAGTGAGCCTGCTGATTCAGCTCCCCACGTGGGGGGCGGGGCATGGACCCGAGAAGGGGTTCAGGGTCCCCGCCCCGAATTCCTCAGAAGCTGCGGGCTCAGCACCAGAATGACCTCTCCCTCTCTCTCGGCCTCTAACTTCAAGCTTCGTGTACCCTTTATTCCCTCAGCCCCTAAATGCCCAAGCCCCAGCTCGGTCACAGATAGGTGACGAGCCTCGTGAGCTGGCAGACAGCCACATCTCATGTGGGGTATTACTCAGAAGCAGGGCCAAGGAGATCATCATGACCCAGCATGGGCTGGCTCTGGTCCCCATGGTCCGGGTGTCCCTATCGAGCAGGTAGGAGGGAGAGAGGTTCAGGGCACAGCTTCCGGGGGACACAGACCAGCCCTGGATCCAGCCTCAGTCTGGCTGCTGATTCTGATCAAGTCACAAATCCCTGAGCCTCCATTGTCTTGTCAGTTCGCTGCGGATAACCCCACCCACCCTGCAAGGTTTCTGTGGTGAGTAGATGTGTTGACGTATACTACTTGGTACGCAGTGAACAGCAATATGTGGAGACTTCTAGAAACATCCGAGGGAGGTGTCAGCAGTTAGGTGCCAGCCATGACGTGATTTAAAGACTTTTTGACCTCATGTACAGTTTCAGACTCTGAAAAGAATGGATTCCATGCAGTTACTCGTCCTCTAAGGTTTCCTGTTTGTTCTGAATGACCTTGGACTTCGAGGCAGACCCTCAGTTCTTCGCTCCACGGGGTGGAAGGGAGAGCTCAGAGCCCTGCCTCGCACACACTGAGTCTTCTCCTTGTTTGCACAGAGGGGACAATACAGGCTCTGATTCGCAGATGCCACCAAAAAGGCTCCCAGCACCCTGTCTGCACACAAGTGCTCAACCGACGGATCCGTCTAGAGATGAGGCCTTTGTGAATACGTGTCAACGTGCCTGTTCCTGCCCTGCGTTCACAGATTCGGGCCCACCCGCCCCACCGCCGTCTCTGCAGACCCCAGGCTGTGCCGTGTCTGTCCTCGGACGGGCAAGCAGAAGGCACTGAGTCTCCCTCACATTCCCCTCTCCATCTGCTCGATGGCTTCACTGGCCCGGGTGAGGCCAGCTACAGATTTCGTGGGACCCAGGACAAAGTGAAAAGCTGAGACCTCTCATTCAAAAATGAAGAATTTCAACGTGGCGACGGAGCACTGAACTGCGTGAGGAGCTTTCTGAGCACGTCCTCTGGCCACTTGTCACACTTCTGCCCTCGTCCTCGTAGGTGTGGGAACCCAGGGGCAGCCGGCAAGTCCGGGCTTGAAGCTGGACCTCAGAGTGCTTTCCGGGCCCCGTGCATCGTGTCTCACACCGACTGCTCAGCCTCCCTCGGCTCCTGCTGCAGTCCCCATGCGTCATCCGCTCAGCAGGAGTGTGCAGAGCACCTGCCGTTGACGCTGGCCACAAAGCCGCGAAGGAGATGGACAGGGGTACCACCATGGTCAGCAGGGATGGCGGGGAGCCCCGCACCCTCCCAGCAAGCCAGCACCACCCCTGACTCTCCTCCTCAGCCCAAAGCTGCCCCCAGCCAGGATCCCTCACCCCTTCCAGGTCCCCCAGCCTCCACTCCTGCCTCCCGCAGTGTTCTCCAGCCAGAAGCCCGAGCAACCTTGTAAAGACACAAATCCCATGGCACTGCTCCCTCTCCAACCCGGTTAAACCTGCCACGACTGCCCACGGTTCTCACAGCCGGATGCAGCTGAAGCCCGGGGCCCATGTGCACGCATGCACACACGTGCGCACACTCCCTCCCCAGGCTGCAGACCCAGCAGCCATCCTCGGTTTCCTTACTGGGACATGTCCCCCTCCGTTCCAGGGCCTCTGCCAGGAGCAGCGCCCCCTCCTGCTCCAGTCCTAGTCAGTAGCACCTGTGGCTCAGCTCTGGCGCCCCCGGGGAAGCTGGTGCCTGCGTACTCTCTGCCCTGGGTCCGCATCCTGCTGCTTCCTGGCACACGCACGGTGATGAATTAATCATACGGTCGTTCGTTGATGATCTCGAGGGCAGGGGCCAGACCTCCAGGACTTACCCTGGTGCTGGCCTAGAATCAGGCACAGTGAATGGCAGTGGCCTGGGTCAGTGACCGCGGGCAGCCTGCGGTCTCCCCTTCGGGGCCGAAGCCCCACAAGGGGGTCTGAATAACGAGTTGAGGTCCACTCAGTGGACCCTCGCCCAGAGCTGCCTCTGTCTGTGCATCTCCTCACCTGGAGCTGCTGCAGCTGGACCCGCCACTCATAGCATGGGTCGTCCCCATGGCAATGGCGGTCATGCTCCCTGAGCACACCGCTGGCCGGCCCCCTGCGGAAGCGCATCCACCCATGGGCTCCTCAGCTACCCTGGCCAGGGCCCAGCGGCATGTTTCACAGAGGGAGCCTGGAGACATTAGGGGCCTGGCCCAAGGTCACACAACCAGGAAGCCACCAGGCGAAATCCACAGCTTGTGCAAGTGTGACCCACTGTCTTCCAACAGACCCTTGCCCAACACACACGCATGCACACACACACCTACACACACATAGACACACAGACTACACACACATACACATGCACGCACACATGCACACAGACACGTGCACATGCACGCACACACACACACACAGACCCTGAGCACGAGCAGCATGCCTGAGTGTGAGTCTGCAGAGGTCACAGAAAGGCATTCCCTGGAGGCTGGAAGGGGTTGAGGCTGTGCTGAGGGCCACCCATGGGGCTGGGGATGGTGGCCCTGTGGCTCCAGGCCCAGCCACCAGGCCCAGCTGGCCCAGTGCGAAGGCCTCTCGTAGAGGAAGGAAAGCTAGGCTGGCCAGGGGCCCGGAGGCGTGCCAGGCAGGGGTGGCGAGCCTCGGCCTGGGCGCGCTCCTTCAAAGCCCCGGGGGCTCCCCGCTCCCAGTGAGCGTCAGAGCTGGGAGTTGGGGCACTTTTAAGTTCCGGACCCCAGAACCAGACCATCTGGTCTCAGAGCAGAGCTACCAAACGTGGCTTCCCTTTCTTCTCCTTGGTCTGGTCTGCATATCTCCTACGTTATTTTTTTCCCTTAAAATTAATCACTTTTGTAAAAACGCAACTAAATTTAGTATTTCCTAGGAAACACCTTTGAAATAACAGGTTAAATATGCTAGATGTGAATATTTTTTTTCTAACGTACGTTAAAGTATGGTGCTTCCACATTACACTTAAGCTTAAATGAATCCACATCATCTCCTGTCCCCCAAGTGGCACTCCGGGGTGCTCCAGGAACCTGTCACAGGTCAGGGGTTGAGCTCGGGGGCTGCCCCGGGCCCTCGGCTCAGGCTCCTCTGCCACCCACACTGACACTCAGGGATGGCCTCACCCGCTCTGCCACTGCATAGTTTTGTGCAATTTGCCAGAAGTTCAAATTCTGTCAGGTTTTGCAATTTTACGAAAACTGAGGCCCAAGAGCCCCCGCTCCCAAACCAGGCTGGAACCCCAGTTTCCTGACTTCTGCCTGGTCGGGCTGCCCCCCAGGCTGGCCCCCTCCCACAAAACGGGTCACCCAGGAGGGGCTGGGGTGTCCTCGCCTGGGTTCCCCCAAACAACACACTCCACTCTTCCACACACCTCACCCCTCCTCACCCAGGCCACACACAGCCCTGGCCCCCGGGGCCTCACGGGAGGGGGGAAAAGACCAATGGTGACTGTTTAATTTTAGTTTTTAGTGATAAAAGCTGTGCTTTTTGTTTTCTTTTTTTAAAAGGCGGTAGAGAAGTTACAAAGTGAGAAACGAAAGCCGCCTCTTCCTTGCCTGCCCTCCCCACCCTCACAGTCACCCACCACACTGCTCCTGTAAACATCCTTCTAGACCTTTCCCTCTGCACACACACAGTATACGTTCCTGCTGTCAGAGTTTTCTTTCTGACCAAAATGGGCTCCTACCCTACAGACTTTACAGCTTTATTTGTAACGCGACGTATAATCTGACCGTGTTCCCCCGCGAGAGCAGCTCCGGCTACTCATCTGGAGCATCCTCGTCACATTCTCACTGCACACAGACCCTAACGCCACCCCCTACTGATGGCCACTTGAGTCATTCAGGGCATTTGGCCATCATGAACCGTGCCGGCGTCTGCACCCTCACGTCCTGGCTCGTGCACGCGTTGGTTCGGCCGATGGTTTTTGTGTGCCCATTACATGCCAAGCCCCGGGCCAGGCGCTCACATGTTAGTGAGGCAGACTCTACCAGCAGGACGAGTCAAAGGGCGCGAACATTGGAAACTGTGATGGATACGGCCAAACGCACCTTCCAGAAGCTGCCCGAATGGTCCCCCGACAAATAGCATGTGATGCTGTCTACCTGCCCCCCGCCCGCACCCCAGCCGGGCATTACTGATTTTTTTTTTCATTTTACCCAGATTCAATCAGCAAGAGGCAGGATCTCTGTACTGAATCGTTATTGCCCTGATTGTTACGGCGGGCGGGCGCCTTCTCGCACATCTCCAGGAGCCGCCAGCTTTTGTTTCGGGCCCTCGGAAGGTGAGGGTTGGGGCGATCCCTTGGCCGGGGCCCGTCCTGGAGCAGTTCTCTTGGAGCCAGGCAGTCCCCCGCCCCCGGCACTTCCTCCCACCCCGAAGCCTGGAGGCGAGGACTTCCCTCTCCCACCCACGCAGCCCTCGCCTCTGCCAGGGCCCAGCAGATGGGGGGCGGGGGGCGCCTTCCGGGCAGAGAGAGGAAGCAACGAACTCAGTTGTTCTGTGCGGGGCCCACAGCTCAGGCCCGGCTGCAGGAAGAGGCCACGTGGTCACCAGGGACATTCCTTCCTGGCCTGTCCCCAGACCTTGCTCGCGCAGAGCAAGCCTCCTTGGGCAAGTGGCTTCAGACCTCAGACTGTTTCCTCATCAGGATGAGGTCCTTGGGGAAAACAGTGCAGAGGGGGCAGCTCGGCATATGACCCCAGCTCCAGTCTGAGGCCTCAGGTCCCTCCACCCCTGCCTAGCCCCCTTCCCACCAGCCAAATAATCCTGGGACAGGATTATTCGGCTGGAAAGACCCTGAGAAGTCTCACCAGACAAGGCCCTCACACTGTACATAGGTACACGAAACCCAACTCAGGAGAAGAGATGGCAGCAGTGACAGCTATAACATAGCAGTCCTTATGCCGACTTTCTGCTGGGTGCGGTGTGATTAATAATGAATTATGAGTAGTTATGCTATCGATAGCTGCCACACGTCGAGTCCTAGGACGCACCAGGCCCTGTGCTAGCTTCTCATCGTGCCTGGGGGAGCTGAGATGCACACCCTGCTGGGATCCACACCCTGCCGGACAAGGGCACGGGAAGGTGGCACTGTCAACCCAGACAGACCCTCTCCCCTCGAGCTACCCTCACCCCCAAGTCTGCCCTTTGGCAGAAACCTGAGCCACACACTGACCTGGGCCAGGTTCCCTGGGGGCTTCAGAGAAGGGCCAACTAGGGACGTGAAGCATCTCCCACACAGGAGAGAAATTGCGACTTGTCACTTAGAAGACTGTGCCAACTGACAGGTGGCGGTTGAGGAATTGCGGAGGATGGGGTTGTGGAGGCAGGTGTCTGCAACAGTTTGGGGGGGGGTGGCTTTTAAAGCAATGTGGGTTGGACCCAAAACCATATAGAATCCTCTCAAGCTGGCAGAGAGAAACCATTTTATAGCTGTAAGAGTCGGGTACTATGGTTCCACTTCAAATATTTCAAACCCGGAATGTCATTCTAAAAAGTTCTCCTCCCGGATTAGAGATTAATTTCGAGCAGGGAGAACGCTTAGGGGTATTATGGGTTTCCGTTAAGTATCTGGAATTAATATTTTGAATACAAGCCCATTTGTAACGGAAGCCCTAACCTTTGCCACCTGGCTGTCCCCTGCCCGGTCCACTAAAGCCCAGTGTGTGGGTTTCATTTTAATGATTCAAATGGTCTGGATCTAGTCCAACGGTCCTCAACCAGGGGTGGCTTCACACTGTCCCAGAGGCAACTGGAGACATTTTTGGTCGTCACGACAGGGAGCTGGGGGGCTGCTGTGGCATTGAGTGGGTAGAGACCGGGGATGCTGCTCACTATCCTACAAGGCACAGGACAGCCTCAGGTCCGGGCACAGCTAGGGGACAGTTCTGGGCAGCCGGAGGCCTCTCCAGTCAGTCCTCTTGGCTTATCACTCCCTACTTTCATGTCACGGGGCTGAAAAATACGAAAAAAAAAGTAGTCTGGGGTGGGGAAGATAGGAAGCGTCTTTGACGTCACATTCATTTACGTGCATCTCCGTTTACCTTCCAGGCCTTTTCTGAACGAGCCCCCCCCCCCCGTTTCTGGGGACAGCGGCTGAGTACGGGGCTCTGCCCGTGGACGGGAGGGAATAATACCACGAGCAACTGTGCCGCGCCAGTCGGTCACTCAGCTTCGGAACATGGTTTTGTTGGTTAATGACAGGCCAGATCGCTTCCAACTCAGCATTTCGGCTACAGGGCTATCCGCGCCACCTGTCCCCTCGCCGGATCCCCAGCAACCCCCAGGGAGTTCTGTCTGGATCCCCACTGACAGATGACAAAGCCGCACCTCCGAGGGCGGCGGTCCAAGGCTCCAGGGTTGGCACTGGTCAGTCGTCTGACACTGGGGCCCGAGCCCACTCCACACAGCCCCTCCCGGGTTGCCTCAGACTCTGCTCGTTCTCTGGGGCTGGTCCTCTCCCAACTGGGGTTACAAGGCCAGGAGAATGGGATGCATGACACAGAGGGCATCCCAAGAAGGTGGGGCGGGGAGCAAAGGGAAGCAGGTGGAGAACAAGAAAACCGGCCTCCAGCCACTTAAAAACGCCAATCATTCATCACTCACTCTATTTAAAAATATATATATATATATTTTTTTTTAAGCCACAAAGTGGCCCCGTGTGAAAGAAGATCCAAGGAATAATTTACGTCTGTCCGAATTCTGCAGTTTCAGCCACGATTGTCAGCTCGTGATAGATGCCATCGCTCCCTCTCCTGCCGCGAGTGGCAGTCACAGCAGTAACGCCAGAGGCGAAAGCGACTTGCGTTAAGAATTTCACGGTGGGCTTGGCGTAGTGCTGGCTGCTTGACAAATGTCATCTCCCACGACTCTCCCAATACCCACGGCGCAAAGACTGTGACTGGCCCCAGTTTTCAGATGAGGAAACCAAGGGTCCGAGTGGCCCCCGTCACACCCTGGAAAGTGGCAGAGCCTGCACGCCTGCCCGGGTCCGCTCGACTGCAGTCGAGGTGAGCCCTGGGCGCCTCCACCCAGGAATGGAGGCCTGGCGTGGAAAGAGAAAGGTCACTTCAGGCCTCCTGGCTCAGGCCCGCCTCCAGCAACAGTGCCTGGACGTCCCCGGAGCCACCGAACGGAGCGCGAGGGCTGGAAGACGGCAAACCCCGAGCACAGAGGCGGAGGCCAAGGCCCCTGGCCAGGCCTGTCCCCCCGACCCCGCCACACACACGTCCATCTAATGGGCACTCGGTCCCTTTCAGGCTCCGCTCTCTCCCTCCCGGTGCTCAGACCTCCCCAAGCTCCGAAGGCCCTCCGTCCACCCTACTGCTTCTAGGGAAGGAAACAGACTTCGCCCCGACCCCCGAGGAAAACCTTTGTGTCCTGCCAGCTGTCCCGGATGCCTTGCAAAGCCCGACAAGGCTTCGAGCTTAAGGCCTCTTAGGAAAGAAAGGTCCACACCGAATAACTAAGCCTCACGCTTCCCTTTTGGAATGGAGAGTCAGCCCTGGATTAGTAGCCGCTCTGGAGAATTAAAGGGCTCGGGCAGGTGGACGGAGGAGCTGCCCGGGTGCGTGGGCCCCAGATGCACCTCTTCGGGGCGAGCACGGTCACACCCTTGTCTTACCGTGCCCCTCTTGTGTCCCTTATAACTTTGGCGACGTTACGTGGAGAAGCCATCAGGTCTGGTGTCCCCCCCTCAACCACCCTCCACCTCCTCCTAGTTTGCGGTGGCCCAGAATGTTCCTAAGTCAGTGAAAAGCTCCAGCCCCGGAGGAAAGTCTCCCCCATTCCTCACTTGCAGACCCCGGAAGCGATTCCGCACAGGGTGGACGCTGAGAGAGAGGCTGCGGGGCAGTGTCCACAGCCAGTCGTGGGGGGCGCAGTGGGGGGCTGCCTTCGGGGTCTGCCTGGCTCTCTCAGAAAGATCTTCGAGCCCAGACACGGCTATTTTCACCACTGTCTCTTAGGACGGCCCTTCAGGTCAAGTCACTTGCCCTTCCGGCTACCACTGCTCTTTGCACACCCAGCGTGACCATCTCTGGGATGAGGGAACGTGCCGGAAAAAAGACCCAGGGTCCCGCTGTCCCTCACCGAGATCTACATTATCCTGGGAACATTCTGGAGACCAGGCTGGAGAGAAGAGGCCAGTGGGCTCCTCTCAGCTGTCGGACACTGACACTAGATGTCCACTCTAGTGGCCGCCTGCCTCGGAGGGAGAAAGCAGTCCACCGCGAAGCAAACCGGGTCTCTCAAACTAGCTGTCCTCTCAGACGAAACCCGGCTGGGAACAGTAAGCCATTCCCCAGGTCTGGATGTGCATCCGAAAACACAGGGACAAGTGACACCCAACCACCGAGCACCGTGCAGGTGACTCCAGAGGCTCCGGGGGGCTGGGTTACTTCTCTGAGTAACTGCCACGTGGGGTCAGAGGCCTGAGCCTGGGGGGCCGAGCCTCGGCCTCTCTGGTGACCCCGACAGTATGCTCGCTTTGCCAAAGAGGCACCTAGAGGAATGTTCCTCTGCTTTCTCAGCATCTTACCACAGGGGCCAGGGACAGTGGGAGGGAAGGTCTTAGAACCATGACCCCGATCTCAATCAACTGGCGACCCTCTAGGAGGTCACCTGGCCAGGGACGACTCAGGGGCCACCTCCGTATGTGCCCAAGGCTTCCCTCTGCCCCTGGCGAGGCCCCGCTCTAACCCCACCCTCCAAGACCCCCACCCTGAGCAGCCCCCCCAAAGTTTGCTCCTGAGCAGTACTCACATGCCCTGCTCCCCGTACTGGTTGTAGAACTCCATGTGGCTGCACGCCTGGATCCAGCCCACTATCCAGGTCTCCTTCTTCGGGATGGGCGGCATGACCACCTGGGCCGAGGCACGGAAGTGGGGTGTCCTGTAGCGGAGCACCACGCTGGAGGACTCATCGATGCTGGTGGGGATGGGGTCGATAGAGGCTTTCACATCAATCACCGTGATACCTTCCCGGAAGACTCTGGCTTTGCCCCCGATGCTCTGGATACAGCCCATGGCACACAGTACCGCTATGATCTCCAGGGAAGGCCAGCAGTCCCAGAGAAAATCGGGCATTGAAAGGATGGAGGCTGCGGGACCCAGGGCAGACAGTGCTGCTCTCCGATCTCAAATCTCAAGACCGATATCCATAGGATAGAAAATTCACTTTGTAGGGGGCCTTTGCATGTCACTACGCGGGGGCCTGTTTATAAATAAGGATTTTGCTGCATTTCAAAGGCCCTGGGTTCTGTCTTCTGCTAGCAGTGGACAAAAATCACCGATATTCTTTGGGTTAAAAAAAGAAAAGTTTGGATGTTAATGGAGAATCATGGTGTTCAGACATACGTGCTTCACACGCTGGGAACGCGGCTCGGAGACGCTCGCTGAAGTCTTCGGGTGAAGGAGGCTAATGCCGGCAGACACATAAATAAGGAAGGCTCTGTCCCCAGCGCGGCGCCGCCACCCTCGCTGCAGAAGACCGACTTCCTGCCCTCCTGACTTCCGCACGCGCTCGGGACACACGCACCCCGCCGCTCGCCCAACGGGGCCGAATCAATGGCAGGGCAGTTTCTGTTCAGGCAGTCGCCTGAGATCCGGGCGCCCTTGGGGGGCCAGCGCCGACCCGCGGCTTCCTGGAGGAGAGCGCCGGGCTCCGGCCGCCCTCGGGGTCCCCGAGGGTCGGCGCCCCCACGCGGGCGTGCCGCGTCCCCTCGTCGCTGTTGCCGCTCGCAGCCGTGCGGAGCCCCGGGTGCTGCGCTCAAGCCGCCC